GATAAATTTTTTAAGTTGACAAAAGGGCTAATTTTTTGTTATAAATTCATGTTATAGGCCTTAGAGAGAGTCTAATTATACAGTATTGGCTTGACTATTCGGAAGGTAATGTCACAAGGGTGTTTTATTGAGTATAATAATACTAATTACCTATGAATACATAAATTTGACAGAAAGGTACAAAGGCTTGTTATTAAGATGTTTTATCAAGTAAATCACTGCTTTATTATTAAGAATGCAAAGAATTGTCCCAAAAAAGGCACAAACCCTTCAGTACTTATTGAGATAACAGCTTACAAGCAAAACTTAACCATGAATTTCTAGGTTGAAAAAGGGGAGAAAAATCAGCCTAAATGCAAGATAGAATTATATGGATCTTTGTCAGTGACCTACAATTATGACCCTAAATGCATATGTGAAGTTTTAAATAAATATCTTTAATAGTTATTGAGATATGTAAAACTTGCATGTAAACATTAACCAAGAGACTAAGTAGAAAAGAGGATATGAATCAGCCTTAATGCAAGATAGAGTTATGGAACTTGGTCGGTCACATACAATTATGACCCTCAAATTATGACCCTAAGTGCATGTGTAAAGTTTCAAGTAAATATCTTTGAAGACCTTTAACCTTTATGCAATTTTGCAAACTGATGTACATTGTTACTATAAAAAAGTATTTTAAATTTCAATTGAACATCTCAAGCAATATTTGAGATATTTGACTTTACAAAAAAACTTTAACCAAAATTTCTAAATTAAAAAGGGGCATAATTCTGTCAATATTGTAGGCAGAGTTATCCAACTTGTCAATCTGATGTACCTTGTTACTATAAATAAGTATTGTAAGTTTCATTTGAATATCTCAAGCAATAATTAAGATATTTGACTTTACAAAAAACTTTAACCAAAATTTCTAAGTTAAAAAGGGGCATAAGTCTGTCAATATTGTAGGCAGAGTTATCCAACTTGTCAATCTGATGTACCTTGTTACTATAAATAAGTATTGTAAGTTTCAATTGAATATCTCAAGCAATAATTGAGATATTTGACTTTACAAAAAACTTTAACCAAAATTTCTAAGTTAAAAAGGGGCATAATTCTGTCAATATTGTAGGCAGAGTTATCCAACTTGTCAATCTGATGTACCTTGTTACTATAAATAAGTATTGTAAGTTTCAATTGAATATCTCAAGTAATAATTGAGATATTTGACTTTACAAAAAACTTTAACCAAAGCGGACGCCGACGCTGACGCCGACGCGACTACAATAGCTCTCATATTCTTCGAATAGTCGAGCTAAAAATGTATATAATAAACAGAAAATTCAAGTCTTTTTCTATAATACAGGATTTATTTTTATCTTTTGGTATGAAAATTATCATATTTCACTCGTGGCTGTAGCCACTCATGAAATATTTGTTTTCATACCACTCAATGAAAATAAATTGTGTATTTATAAAAAAAATTTGAATATCCTCTATAATATTATACTTCATAAGGTGTATAATTTATACTTCATTAGGTGTAATCCCCCAGAGCTAAATCTGTAACTACCGGAAAATAGTATGTGTCAAAAAGGTCAATCGCTACACTTCTCCCAATGCTGCCTAGTTGTAAACTGAGCACACTTCCAGATTCATATTGTTTTAAATGAAAATAATTATATGTTCCATCAATAAGTTAAATATTAAGATTTGAAGTTCAGAAAACTACAAAAAAATTATATTTTATCTATATTTTATAGTTATATTTATTTCCTTTTATGTACATTGCGTAATATTATTCCTTTAAAAAGTGGTTAGAATTAATATAACAATATTTTTAAATTTTGTAATAAGCTAATTTTGAATTCATTAATAAGTGGTTAGAATTAATATAACAATATTTTTAAATTTTGTAATAAGCTAATTTTGAATTGAATCAAAGAAGTATGCATGTCCGTTTTTTTTGTTTTTTGTTTTATTTTTCCTAAATTTTGATTGATTTTTGAAGGAAGTAAAATATCTGGATGTGTGCAGTTTTAACTTCTAGCATGTCCCAAGCCATGGTAAAAGCAGAGGGGGAGAAACGAATCTTATATTTGTATTACCAATGTTATTTTAAATACATGTATCACTAAACATTTTTACATTTTTGATTGCATTGTTCACCATTTTCTTGATGTCTGAAGTGATAGAGAATAATTAATAGGTTGGTGCCTTGGATCTGGCGAGGCGGAGGAATTTATTGGGTGAGCCTTTGGTCAGATAGTTCTCCATCCATAGGACCAATCATTCTATTTATCCTGTTATCGATCTTTTCTGTTATCGACTAGTTCTTATCATTCTGATATATTTTACAAGCAAAAATGTCAAACCAGTCTTTTTTAGTGATTTAAGTCATTTTTACTTATTTTGCCGCATAACGTCATGCGTTCTTTTTCAAGACGTCATCATATGACGTCACAGTACCAATGTTGAAATTTAGTTTCGTAAATTTTTTCGAATTTATTACATTTTAACACAATGTATGCAGTCATTTACTTGCTTCTCCTATAGAGGCAAAATTTACGTACATGACAGAGTTTATTCCTGTTGATAATTCAATTTAGTGTTGTTTTTTTATTCATCAGAACAGCTCATGCCTTAGATTGGTAAAATAAGAACCATAAGGAATAGAAAATTGACAATATTTTACAAAATCTTTTAGAAATGTGTAATCAGATGATAAAGAAACATTTTAAGTGTGTGTGTTTTTGTTGTTGTTTTTTCTTATGTACTAAATAGTTGAAATGATTCTGAAAAATCCTTTAATAAGTTTTAAAAAAGAATTTTCAGGATAAAATTATGAATTTTGGCCAGTTTTTTTGCGTAATTAGTAAATATATCAACCAAATTTAAAACCTATTGTAGTATAGTCAGTAAATTCTTAGTTTTGTCATCGCTGCAGCAATTTGTAATCACTGGCACAGGTAAATACGGTCTGGGTACCAAGCACTGAGTTTAATTAAAGTTTCTTGCTCCAGGAACTACGACTTGCCCCTGATGAGACTTAAACCCACACAGCAAGCAATCCTTAGATTACTAGTCCGACGTATTTGATCAAAAGTAATAGTGTAAATTATGACAATTGACATTAACAATACAGCATCTTTACCCTGCTGGAATCGAAATGAAACAGCCAGTACAGAGCCAAGCCGGGCTGAACATCCATGCGGTCTGAACCAGGTTCTGTAATGCTGGGTGACCTATAATCAAATTTCTATCTTCATATTTCCAGATTAATATAAAGGGCAGTTCCAAAAATAAAATGGAAGCTTGAGAAGTTATTTTCACACATTCAGCAGCAGGTTGAGGATTACTGTCGTCTGCTCAAGCTTTTAAAAATCTATTTTTCTTGCAGTGTGTGTGTGTTTAGTTTTGTTTATACTAGGCGCCGGCTTTGCCATATATCCCAGACTATCGGCTTCTGACACGTCGCTGGTCGTAGAACCTGCAACGGAGGACTTAGTTCGCCTTTAACTTCGCTGATTGTAGAGCCGAAACGGAGGTCTTCTCATGCCGTCTTTCGTCGTAGATCTTCTCTAGGACCCAGTGAATTCTTTGGTCTTGAACGCAGTAGACAATATAGAGGAAAGGCACCTCTTCCGGGAGCAGCAGCTCTTTGTAGGGCCACACCCTACGCCGTTGGTTGGGTCACACCAGCTAAGTGACCCAACTAGATCACACCAGATAAAGGTCACCCATCTGGTGTGATCTATGCCTTGCGTGCACGTCGAGAAGGGAAGTCGGAAGGATTTTTCTTGCAGTCCGTCACATTACTTTTTATATCACAAATCGAGCGTTATTTGGCAAATAAAGCCCACAAAGGTAAATATTTGCAAACAAAGTGAGAAACTATCTCCCTGATACATGCGTATAAAACATTTTTGAAACGTTCATGATTTGCAAAAATGAAATAATTCTATTATGTATATAAAATACAATGTAGAAAAATTGTAAACTCAAGATTTCCCTAAAAGTTATGTACGAACTTTTCACAATTTCATAGCGAACTTAAAAAGACGAAAAATGAATGTTCCAAACAGACATGTGAAAATTACCACCTTATCCATAGCAATCAGGAAATGTCTACCCTCTTAAAACGGGGCGGACAGCACTTTGTCCCATTCTCCCTAGTTAAGATTGTCACTCCTATATAGGAGAAATAAAAACCTAATTAGTTGTGTAACTAAACAAAAAGCTTAACATCCTAATTGGTTTTTGGAGAAATAAAATGCCTAACATATTCGGTATGAAAAGCGAAATTAGAATATCGTCTCTCCTTATTAGGACTAACAGTCTTACTTGGAAAATGCTAATGAAGACTTTCTTTCTCAACTTATAATAAGAAGATACAAAGTCCAACTTATAATTCTCCTAATTAAAACTTATTTAGAGGTACAAAGTTGTTCATTGTTCCTAATTAAAAGTTAAAAATCCAATTTTGTCTATTATTTTTTTATCATATTGTAGCGTTTTAAACGTCTAATCACAGGTGGCGGTATTTTTAAAATGTATTTTAGGCCTTCAGAAAATCACAGACGCACAAACCATGGTACATACCATTGTGCATAGTCGAAATAAATTGACATTTTAAGTAGATTCTGAAACTTTTGTTTCAGGCAAGGATATTTATCCTCACTTCTGCAGATATTTACCATACATACAATGTATCACAATAAAATAGAACTAGATCTACCTAACCTAGAAGATTTACAATTTCTTGGCAACTGCAACAGAAAATTGTGTTTTCTCGGAAAATAAGCAACACGTTTTTCACTCACACCTTGTTGCTTGTGATCATCAACTGGTCACCGTGAGAATCTTTTGAATGATGTACAAATATATGACAGATAAAAACCCAATTAAAGGGAAGTAATCATGTATAAAATTGCAAACACTTAATGTACATGTTATTTCCCTTTACATACTTTTGTCTTTCTGGGATAGTAATGAACAAAAACAACATGTAAGTACATAAATATCACTTTATTTAAAAAGTTCTTGGGAAATTTTTTGTTTAAAACTTTAAAAATGAGTTAACACACCACACTAGTCATGTAACAAGAAAATAGCAGAAATAGGAATACACACAACCAAAAATATGTATGTAAATACATTTTTGTAACATGGAGGAACTGACTATGAAATAACATTATTTTTATACAAGAAGCTTTTACCAGAATAGTGATGGTGGTACATTTTGTTTATTTGTTTGTTTGGTTTTGCAGCGCACCAAAACATAATTATGGCGCCGAAACAGAAAAGATGATTTTGGCTGATCTCGGATGTTACAAACTTAAAAGCATCAACAGGGATTAAAACCACCTCACCTACTGCAGCTAACAGATGCATAGACTCCAGTAATTCAGACTCGTTTTTCTTCCCTTATAATCATGCAGGGATAAATAGTGGCTACAATTCTTATGCCTCAACCATAAACGGCAACCCCTCAGTCACAAAGGGCTGTTGGAGGTACATGCCTTATGGGCCTTCTTTAATGATAGCCTTGTCTACATTTGTTACTGGCAAAATATTTAAATTCACACTGGTGCAGTAGTCTTTCCAACTACTAACAATAATGGTAATTATTGAGGTTATTTGGGTTTAAGCATTTCAGCACTATATATGGTAGTGTTGTTGTTTTTTTTCTTATATAATATACAATGCTTCAGGCCTAAAGGATAATAAACATTTTTTTCCTGAGTTCTGTCTCAAATCTCAGGATTTACATTGGTCAGTATACTTGCTGTGGCAGTTTCTGACCAATCAAATAAGTGAGATCTGAGTATTGAGCTTTGAGAATTTCTTTATAAACCGCGGATCCTGGTTATGCATGTAAGGGATGAACCACAAAATTTTCTCAATGACAAATTGGCAATCTATTTCTATATCGTCATACAGTCTGTCTCTGTTTATATTTCACAAATTTTAGAAGTGCTACAATGGCTGCTGGTGTCATCCCTGGAATACGACTGGCAGCTCCGATCTGAAACATAGATAATTCAAAAATGAATTAAAAATTTATGACAATATGGTCCTACTTAACACTACACTTAATGTTGGACAAAAGATCTGAACTTTAGTCAGATTCCATTAATTTTTGCAAGTAATTATGACATATTCAAAATATGTTTAAACAATTGATAGGGTATTGTCATCAAACAAGACTTTCTCACCAATATTACATAAGTAAAATGAAAAATAACACAAAAGGGCCATAATTCTACTGAAAAGTATCAAATTAAAAACATCCCATTTTATATTTAGATATGCTGGTTTTTAAAGTCAAATGGACAATGTAAAGATGACAATTATGGCAACTTTCCAGCTTGACCCTAGACATCCTCTTACCCATTTTATCACTTTATTCCAGGCACAAGCAGGTATCATAGCAGAATCATTTTACCTCCTGTAAGCTAGCTAGCTTTATAGTTTCTTCAAATATAAGAATCAAAAGCCCCTGATGTGATACAAACCCAAAGTGGTGTGGGGACAGTGATTTAAAGACAAACACCTTAACAACTGGGCCATAGAGAACCCCTCGGAACAATGTACATGAGGACACTTAATGACAAGCATTCTAGAAAAGTTTAATTGAAATCCCTGGCAAAATGTCAGAGAACTTGTGTCACATATCAGAACTTTTCTCAGATTTCGGGAAGAAAAGGACTGATGCAGTCTGACCGGGGCTCCAAACCATGATGCTAGGAATACCGTCCTGCAGCTCTACCAACTGAGCTATCCGGCTGCTTACACATCCTCTCCCCAAAATAGTGAACAGTTCTGAACCTCAAAACTTGCACACAGATTGAAATTGTTTAGGAACTGAAATTCATCAACCAGTATCTACTATTTTTAAATCTTATTGATCAGTTAAATGAATTTTTTTTAAACTAGTCTAATTATCCTACACACAGATGTAATATTCAAGATGTGGGAAAAACCTGTTTTCCTTAAAGGGACTCCACTGAGGTGTTTTGACATGATTGGACCGGAAAACATTTTTCAAGATTTTTGTATAACTTGATGAAGGGCTGGACCAATAATTTGTGATCATTCTCTCACTCCATTTCTCTGAAATAATAAATTCTATTATGCAAACTTACCCTGAGCTTTTCACTCAAATCGGCCAAAAAGGCATATAAAAAATGATTTTTTATCTGATATATTATCTGTTGCATAGCTGCCATTTAAGTACACGAGTTGATTTATGAAAATTTTCAAAATGTATGATTTTAAGCCATTTAATCTCAGTGGAGTTCCTTTAAAGGACTAATTACTCTCAGTTCCACCAGGTAAAAAGTATATAGCAAAGAACATGTTAATATAAAATCGAAAGAATGGAATTAGCAAAAAGTTTTAAACTGACAGCTTTATCAAATAAACCCTAGGATTACTTTGTACAGTAAATTACTCACCGTATGTGGCCGGCACTCTGCAAGCTTCATCCTGGCATCAGTTGATATGCCTTGTATTCTGATATAAAAAAATACAAATGAACCGCGTCACGATAAAAAAACAACATAATGGGTTTGCGAACAGCATGGATCCTGATCAGACTGCACATCTGCGCAGTCTGATCAAGATCCATGCTGTTCGCTATCGGTTTCTCTTCTTTTTATAGAGTTTGTAAGCGAACAGCATGGATCCTGATCAGACTGCGCGGATGCGCAGGCTGGTCTGGATCCATACGGGTCGCAAACCCGTCATGTTGGTTTTGTCGTGATGCGGCTCAAATAACATACAAATTTTGCAGTTGTTATATCATGATTAAATGTGCGCGTGTTTTTCATATCTTACAAATAAGACTTAAATATAAAACTGCATGTTTGTAACAATGCTTTTCATTGGATAATCATGAAGTTTATATAAATTATACTCATCAGTGCTGTTCATTTACAAAGAAATTTGTTTTCCCTTACAAAGGAAGTTTGCTGTTTAATAAATTTGTTATATAGATTCTTGACAGGTTATATGACCAAATATAAACAGTTGTTTGCATTTATTGGTATAACCCTCATCTAATGGCCCAGGTTATATATATTTAAAAAAAAACATTTATATATAGGGCCATATAACCTGTCAAAAATCTTTATAACTAATAAAATATACATATCCACAATTTTTCATGACATACTCATTTGTAGTTCATATTGCATTGTAAAAGTAGTAGTATTTGTATATAGAGGCTGTTTTTATTAAACAAATCACTCTTGGTGTTTTGCCTTGAGATTTTTCCTAATGCTCTACAGTTGTTGATTCTCACCATGTTAAATATCTTAAAGTGACTTGTCCATCTTTTAATCTGAAATCTGAACTTAAACTTTCATTATTATCAGTGAAATTTTCAAAATATTTACTGACTGAATAGTAATAATTTTTCTATAAAAGCAGAGCAGCTTTGACTGTGCAGGCTGGCGTGGCTATATGAGCCGTGTCACGACAAAACCAACATAATGCGAACTGATAGCGAACAACTGATAGCGAACAGCATGGATCCTGATCAGACTGCGCGGATGCGCAGGCTGGTCTGGATCCATGCTGGTCGCAAACCCACTATGTTGGTTTTGTCGTGACGCGGCTCATATATTGATGACAATGGTTAAACACTTTCTGAATTAGCAGGGTTAGGGTAAGCATAATATAAAAGAAATACCCCATAAAATCCAGATCATCTGGTAGTATAAGTTGTTCATCTTTCCTCATATTCTCAATATCCTCCAACTGTCTACCTACATGGGCCCTATATACAGCTGTTTGATAAAAGAAAAACAAGATTGCATTTGTAAAAAATGCTATACCACCGCAGTAATACAACACTAAATAGTAATGTAGGAACAGATTTTTTTAGCCAGAGCACTTGATGACATAGCTTCTGTAAAAGTTTCGTCAAAATCCCTTAAGGAAAATGTTTTTTTTTTGGAAAACCTGGCTAAAATTCTTCTGAAATTTGCTTATAGTTAATCATCTGTTTCCTTGACAACATGTTATGGGTCTTTGTCAAGATACAGATATCTAAGATATCTGTCAAGTTAAGACTGTGCTACAAGTAACAGTAAAATAGAATAAAAGAAGGATGTACAAACTACTAGGTTCAAAATATATCTTCTACTTCAATTAAAGATACAAAGTATATTTGAGCCGCGTCATGACAAAACCAACATAATGCGTTTGCGGCCAGCATGGATCCAGACAAGCCTGCGCATTTGCACTGTCTGATCAGAATCCATGCTGTTTGCTTACAAACCCTTTAACAAGTAGAGAAACCAGCATGGATCCTGATCAGACTGCACGGATGCGCAGTCTGGTCTGGATCCATGCTGGTCGTAAACGCATTACGTTGGTTTTGTTACGGCGCAGCTCATTTGTGCAAATTAATACAAAAAATGAACCCTACCTTCAATTCCAAGCCTTGTATATAGTAGTGAATCTTCCTTTAGATGTCCAAGTTGATCAGGAAATAAATCCAGTAATGTTTCCATAGTAACACCAGCTAACTTTAAAGCATCCATTGCACTGAAATTGTAATTGAAACAGAATAATATAAAAAAAAAATCTTTACCAAACTAAATACCTGGTGCAAGAGTGTGTTTAATAAATAACTTTCACTCTTTCATCATTTTTCAACTTGTTTGGTTCCATTTAAGGTCAGAGTGCAATTTTCAAGCTTTACCGACAGAAAATAGTGCTAGCTGATAATAATTTCATCTTGACATCCACAAATTAATAATGGACAGTTCCAAAATTAAGACGATGGACTAGTCCATTTAAGAAATTCAGCAGGGTAGGGCTTAATATAATACCTTTTGTTATCTGTTCTATCCTTGTATAATTTTGATATTTGCAACTTTGTCCACTGTTTGGCTGGTACCTGAATAGACTGTAACAGAGCGATGTTTTCTTCCAGTTTATCTTGAATCTGTGTAGCCATGTTAAATCTATGCTTACTGACACATCCAGCCTCATAACCTTCAAGAAAAAAGAGGAATTTTATCTGCTAAGTTTTTGGAATTTAAAAAGAATAATTAATACTATAGTTATTGCTTAACACCCTATTAAGCAGTTTTAAGCTTGATAAATCAAAGAATAGGGAGAGCTATTGTACTCACTTGGTGTTGCAGTCACATTTTGATGATAATAATTTTTTCATTAAAATTTGTGACCTCATATAATGCTCTCAAATAAGTGTGTGAAGTTGCAACCCATTCCCTTCTGTAGTTTTAAAGATACATACTTGCAAGCAAAAACTGGTTCAAAGTGTGAAGCCAAAACCTACACCTGGGTGATCACAATTCAAATAGTCAAACTGAGAACATGTCTTTGACCTAATGTTGAAAATGAAATATACATAGACTCAATTTTAGGATGCAGAAATTTTGGTCTCAATATAAAAAGAAATACCTCGGCCTTGAATTTAAATGAAATACCTTTTCTAGTGAGTCTCATATCAGCAAACCCATGATACCAGAGTGGTTAAAGAGGCAAGAACTCTAACCATTAGGCCATTTAATCCTTTTTCTATCCATAAGTGTTGCATCAAAACTTGTCAGCCTGCTCAGCTTAATCAGATTTTCAGAGTACCAGATTTTAAATCCTGGGGTTGCTTGTTCAATCCTTTGGCAAGACGAAATTTCCCGGTGATAGATGAGCGTAATTGTCTCTCAACGCTGAATCAGATTAGTATTTGCTCACAATGTGAAGAAACTGCTTATTATTGGTTAGTTTTCCAGGAAAGTCAGTTATGTGGACCTACCATCAAGATTATTATGACCAAAAATGTGTTCAGTATAAAATTTTAATCAGCATAAAAACCAAACAAACCAATAAATGCAGCATCAAAATTAAATCAGCATAAAAAACAGACAAATCAACAAACTAAGCATTAAAACTCTATCTTTGTAAGGTCCTACAAATGTTCAAGTGCAGTATAATACTACTTTGTTTTTCTACCATTTTTATGACAAGGGCAATCATTACTTTTTTATTTTATTTGTTTGTCTCCTATTTATGCCGATTTCAACATATCTTTGGTTATATCTACACAATCAGTCCAGCTAACCCTCTTTCCTAGATACCTATCCATTAAAATACCCATTTCTCCACAATTACAAAGAGGGAAGAATTAAATGTAATCAGTTTACAGCAGGGTCTTTCTTAACTCCCATACATTCTAACCAGAATATGTTTGATTCACTCCTATAGTCCTTAAACTGAGGTGGTCTTTGAGTATTAACTAGAAATCTAGTTGCAGTTTTGGTCTTAATCTAACAGTGTCCTTTAACACATGTTTGATTGTATATGTACTATGTATGCAACCCAATTTACAAATACATGTTATCAAATAATGTTATAAAAAATTCTCAAAACTGCTTTTCATTCTCAAATAATTTTTTTTTTGGTAAATAAAAAGCAGCTGCCCGGAATAAATCACCAAATTAATTTCCCTTGTAAAATCAATGAGGTCTTAATGTTTTTTAAATTTGATTCTTCTGGAGAAACCATCATCATTAATTGCAGTTGTTACCACTTTGTCTGTGAAGAAATTCAACCAAAATTGTTAGTTATCTTGTATACATATAAAGTCGTAAGAATAACTCCCATGGGAGAATCTTTAAAGGCACATTTTGCCCTAGAAATCCTTATCTATTTAATTCTTTAGAAATGTCAAACATGCATTTAATAATGTTCTAATAATGGATTTAGAGCATGCTAGATGTAAATTAAACAATGGAGGAAAGTAGCACTTAACATGCAGTAAAGTGTAGTATCTTGATTTCCATACACAATACTAATTCACTGTAATTTTACCAATTGCCAACAGAGCATAGATAGTTCATTTATAGGGCAAATCAGTATATCTTTTCAAAACTGTAACAAGATACCAAAATAAAAAAGTTTTTAAAGAACTAAAAATGATAGGGCTTTAAATAACTTATTTTTTCTACTTTAATAACCAAGAAAACATTTGAGCTCAGTCATCTTCACATCAATATAGGAAATAATACTCTCTGACCCCTTGTAAATTCTCTGTTTTGCAAGCTCCACATTATTCTAAATCTAATGAAATTAATGTATCAAGAACATGCAGATTTATGTAAAAAGTCCATGTTTGGATGATTTCTGTCTGAGCACACATATGATGGGTACAAAATAACTACTACCAATCCTACTCATTCCATATGTATTGTTGAGTGTTTTTAATGAATTTTTATGTATTTTTTTGGTACTTTTTTACACTAAAATACCCAGCAAGAATACAAATGAAAGGACGTCCGTTCGTTAGCAATTTGGTTTCTGGAGCATAACTAAAGTTCCATTTGCCCCACAATATTCAAACTTTATAGGATGATTGTCCATATTGGGTAGAAGACCCCTAATGATATTAGGGTCACAAGGTCGACGGTTAAGGTCACAATTACCTTAAAACTGAAAACAGTTTCTGGAGCATAACTTAGTTTCCATTTGGCCCACAGTTTGTTTGTTTGTTTGTTTCATTTTACGCCTTTTCCCAACAGTATTTCAGTCATATAGGCGGGTAGTTTCCTAACCATGGATCCTGGAGAGTTACACCAGTACAAGACTACCTTCCTCCACGCTAAACTACCAAAGCATCTCCCGGGGATCGAACCCACGCCAGAGAGGTAACTGGATTAGAAGTCATCGACTCTAACCCCTCGACCACGGAGGCGGTTTGGCCAACAGTGTTCAAACTTCACAGGATTATTGTCCATATTGAGTAGAAGACACCCCCTGTTGATTTTGGGGTCACAAGGTCAAAGGTCAAGGTTACTCTTACCTTAAAACTGAAAACATTTTCCGGAGCATAACTTAAGTTCCATTTGACCCACAGTGTTCAAACTTCATAGTATGATGTCCATACTGGGTAGAAGACCCCTATTGATTTTGGGGTCACAAGGTCAAAGGTCAGGGTCACTATTACCTTTAAACTGAAAACAGTTTCCAGAGCATAACTTAAGTTCCATTTGGCCCACAATATTCAAACTTCATAGGATGATTGTCCATATTCGGTAGAAGACCCCTATTGATTTTGGGGTCACAAGGTCAAAGTTAAAGGTCACTATTATCTTAAAACTGAAAACAGATTCCGGAGCATAACTTAAGTTCCATTTGGCCCACAATATTCAAACTTTATAGGAGGATTACTATTTGAAGGAGGTAATACTTTATAGAATTCCCATGTCTTACAAATGCTTCATCCTCACTTAAAAAAAACAACAACACACTTTCAGGCATATAATACTCCGCCTAGCGGTGCTCTTGTTGTTTTTGTTTTGGGTGGCAAAGAAAATTCATATCAAAAGAAATTGTCACTGGTGAAAAAGATGACAACATTACATAAGTAATGGTAACAATTGATTTTAAACCAACAGGCCAACAAATAAGTTTATAACAAGTAATAATAACCTAACAAAAATACTAACCCCCCCATTTGCACTGTACCTCTGCTCTGGCATGTACATGAGTAATCAGTTCCTTGCAAAAGTGAAGGTAACTAGTACTGGTAAACTGCTTGACAGCCTGCCTAGGAATGATGCGGTGGCTGAAATGAGCTCTGGTAAATTCAATGTGGCTTACTCAGCCGTGATCCGGAGTGAAAACTACCAACACCACCACCACCAGTTCAGACTGCACACTGGTATGCAGACTGGCCTGGCTGTATAATGGTGGAAAAGACTAATCACTTACTTTTCCTGCAGGTTAAGCATCAATAAAAAATACTTTTCAACAAGTTTTAGAAGAAGAAAAACCTCAAGTCACTAAAACCTCACTAAATATGCCATTCCATAGACACAATGAAATCAAGGCAATCTTCTTGAATGACAGACACTGATATTTTATATTTTAGTCTGTTTGGATAAATGCAGGACAAAATTTCATGAGGTCAATGGGGACATTTAACAAACCAAAGAGCACTTTAATGTATCTCTTCAGACACAATTTGGTCTCCAAATATAAACAAAATTCTCCAGACAATGGGCTCATTAAATGAATTATTTACAGGCAAGAATGTTAAAGCAGCACACCTCCAGATTTGTCTTGATCTTTATGAAACAAAAATTCCTAAAAGAAACCCACAAATATCGTGAAAGAAGAGATATCACTGGTAACCTTGACCTTGACCCAAGAGACTACAATGTCCAGTCAAAGTTAAGAGGACCACCTAAGTTATGAATAAGACCTAAATAAAAGCAGGCCTTATTAAGTAACAGTGTAAAAATCTTAACGTTCACACATGTAACCACTTCCTACACCTCAAGCTTAGAGGACCAACTAAGGTATTTAACTACTAAATATGAAAGAAATCAGTCAATGAATAAATACATGCTGCAAGAGGAGGTGTTAAAATCTATTTTTATCATTGGTAACATTGACCTTGGCAACCTGACAAGTGACACCTTACTCCACTCAAAGTAAGAAAGGTCCATGTATCTACAGCCCAAATAAAGTGTGAAAGAAGAAATGAGCTGCGTCACAACAAAACCAACATTATGCGTTTGCGACCAGCATGGATCCAGACAAGCATGCGCCTCCGCGCAGTCTGATCAGGATCCATGCTGTTCGCTATCAGTTTCTCTACTTGTAATAGAGTTGGTAAGCGAACAGCATGTATCCTGATCAGACTGCGCGGATGCGCAGACTGGTCTGGATCCATGCTGGTCGCAAACACACTATGTTGGTAATGTCATGACGCGGCTCAAATATTTTTGAGTTAACTACAAACCTGTGCTGCAGCCTCCTCATAGCCTGTTGTACCATTTATTTGTCCAGCCAGAAACAGGTTTTGTACAAGTAATGTTTCCAGTGATGGTTTAAGTTGACGTGGATCTATAAAATCATACTCTACACCATAACCTGGAAAACAAATTATACAAGTTAAAAAAAGGGCCATAATTCTGTCAAAATCCATGTTAGAGTTAAGGGCCTTGGCCAGTGCCCTATTATTATGCTCTCAAATGTGCGTGAAGTTTCATTCCTTTCAGTAGTTTTGAAGATACCAACTTAAACACAAAAAACCTAATGGAACTGTAACCTGCGAGGCCGACGTCTGGGTGAGTACAATAGCTCTCACTATTCTTTGGTTGGTCCAGCTAAAAATACATTTAAACCCACTAATGTTCTGTTTATTTACCCTGAAAGAACATTTTTTTTAACATATTTTACCTAACATTTACAATGTTTAAATATGCTTATAATATTACATAATTTTGAAAATTAAATCCATTTCTACATGAACGATCAAATTCAAATAAAACAATCATTGATTATTTTTTATCACTCAATAAATGACTACTTGACCTAGACAGATAATTCAAATGTTTATTTCAAGAAAAAAACAACAAAGCTTACCAGGTTTAAGAATTTTACAATTTTCAAGGCCTTTAATACAATTGATAATCTGTTGCTGATATTCTACTGGCATAGTACAACCAAGGCCATTAGGATATATCAGGTCACTGTCAAACCCTGAAAAATACAATAAACATGTACATTATTAGTGACTTATGACAAACAAAGAAATTCTGTGTAAAAACAAGGATAAGCATTTCCATTAGCTAGGAATCGCAGTTCAGCCGAGTATTTCGGAAAATAAAATCATTTCATGAAATAAAACCTATCCTTAACAATAGAGCTTTTCCTTCTATGAAAACAAACATTCCAAACATTGTTTACCCCGCAGGAGCCTACACACTGGTATTTTTTCTGCACATAAAGATTTCAACTTTTTACATTAAAGGTAACCCGACACAAAAAACATGGCAGATGGCGTGCCACCCAGGCTCCCCTTTTGAGGTCTTTTGTCATCCATTATTGTTATCAAGTGGTATTAAATTCTCCATTCTGATTGGCTCGCTAGGGCATGCGGTGTAAAGGTGGAAATTGTCAAGTCTTGTCGCCATCCAGGAACAGCGACAATAAACAAAGGGGGCTATAATTACCCTGTTTAATATAGGCAATATTGATCAATCATGCCTGGTATATGATTTTCTTTTTTAAAACTATCTTCTGTCAATTATGACAAATCAAATTTTGATTGTCTGCAATTCACAGAATTCTGTAGCATTATTAAACAAATCTTGTTTATATTGTACTATAACACTTCTTATTTCAATTGTAAAGGTTGTTTCATGATCAAAGAGTAATCCATGATTATTGAGAATGATAACAGTGCATTACCAAAATAGAAATACAAGGCAGTATTAGTGTCTAAAACAAAGGTTTAATCATGTCAATCCTCTAAATTACTCTAAGACTTTAAGTTTGACTACTGCTATTGTCCCTATCTCATTTTTAAGCTTTGGCTTTGCTATTGCCCATTTGTCATACAGGTGCCCTATTTGCTGTGCTATTGCCATGCTAAGTCTGTTGTGATAGTGTTATATATTGTCAAATTGGTTCCCCTATTTGTGATACTGGTGCCCTATTTGCCATGCAGATGCCATACTAGCCTATTGGGAGGGAGGGAGGGAAGGAAGAAAGGATTTGTTTGTTTGTTTGTTTCATTTTTACCCCTTTTCCCAACAGTATTTCAGTCATAGGCAGGTAGTTTCCTAACCATCGTTCCTGGAGAGTTACAACAGTACTAGAATACCTTCCTCTGTGCTAAACTACCAAAGCATCTCCCAGGGATTGAACCCACGCCAGAGAGGTAACTGGATTACATGTAGAAGTCATAGACTCTACCCTCGACCACGGAAGGAAAGGAAGGGAAGGGAAGGGGAAGGGAAGGGAAGGAAGGAAGGAAGGAAGGAAGGAAGGAAGGAAGGAAGGAAGGAAGGAAGGAAGGAAGGAAGGAAGGAAGGAAGGAAGGAAGGAAGGAAGGAAGGAAGGAAGGAAGGAAGGAAGGAAGGAAGGAAGGAAGGAAGGAAGGAAGGAAGGAAGGAAGGAAGGAAGGAAGGAAGGAAGGAAGGAAGGAAGGAAGGAAGGAAGGAAGGAAGGAAGGAAGGAAGGAAGGAAGGAAGGAAGGAAGGAAGGAAGGAAGGAAGGAAGGAAGGAAGGAAGGAAGGAAGGAAGGAAGGAAGGAAGGAAGGAAGGAAGGACAGACCTGCAACTACATGCATATATATAATGGGGGAGCATAAAAAACTTTAAAAAAAAATAAACACAAACAACAAAAATACTTTAAGAAAATTAATTAAGAATATTGTGGTCCTGGAATTTGTGCCAGTATTGACCTTACTTTTTGTGTAACTACAAACTTCCTCACATAAGTTCCTAAGTGAAACACTGTGGTTGAGAAAAAAAAATAGTATTCTGAGAAGAAAAAAAAAATAGGCATCATACTACTAATTCTTGTGCAGTCTCAAAAAATGGAAAGAAAATTAATTGTTTATAAGGCTATTAGACCTTAACAATATTTCTACCGGCCTCAGGGATTCTATAAAATAGAAAACTTGCCAGTCAAGAACTGAAATAAATTGCCCAGACATCTTTTCTATCATCAACAATATTGCATCTATTTTATAATATTGATTGTTCTGTTACAGAAAAAAAATCCCCCATTAAACTGGTATCAAAATAATTTCAGGAACAGTAAATGCCACAAAAACTGTTAATTTCCAATATTTACAGAAAGGAGAAGTTAAACAAGTTATTTACATGCAGTTTTTTTGAAGATTGCAAACAAAATCATTCAAAAAAGGATCATTAGGTCATTTATAGAATAACAAATGAACTATAAATATCTATTATAGTCAAACCTATGTTAACCTTTTACCCCATTAGTGTATTGCGAAAAATGTCCGTTTTCATTGAAAAGCAGTCCTGTAACAAGTTCAAACTGCTATGAAACTAAGAAAAATGCATCAATACTGATAAAACTTGGCACAAATGTTCACTAGACCATAGCCATGCTCAATCGTTAAAGACCACAACTTTATTCCATCTTATCAATAAAGGGTTATCAAAAAAGATGGCCTTTATTAACAGGGTTATCTTTATTCAGAGATAGTATTACTAATACTTGTACCAGATATGAAATTAATTTGTCATACACATTTGTCATACACATGATTAATGTATATGTATGAGCAAATAAATATATTTTTAAGCATCGGTGACCGTGAATCCAATGGCCCCTAACTCTACCTCTATTATAGGGAACCATCAAAGATATCTACTTAACATTGGTATGAAGGACATCAATCAATATATATATAGAGGCTGTATGAGAAAAAAAGTTTGAAAGTCTTTTTTTTTGCACCAGTGCATGACCTTGACCTTGATTCAAGTCACCCAAAACTACATCCAATGTAAGAAGACCATAAAAGGGAATGGAAGATAAAGTTCCTAAGAGAAACTGTAGGAAAGTACAATAGGAACACCAAATGGATAAAGTATAATTATGTGCTCCCCAAATTTTTTTAGGGAGCATAAAGACAAATCTGTATGGACAATTCAACAAAAAAGACAATCGTTCACAAAGCAGAAGCTTCAACTGTATTTGATTTTATGGCCTTAAAGGATAATTCTTGATATTTAAGAAATAACAGATTTACTTTTTTTGGAGCGAAAACCCCATTATCAACCAGTGTTTCTATTACTATAATTTACATACACACCCTTGATTTTCTATACAGTGAAATAAATCAATGTCTGGGCAATTCCATCAGACAGTATCAGTTTGCTGACATCTTATCATGAACCAATATCAAGATAAATCTGTCTTTCCACCCCCCCCCCCCCCCCCCCATCTCATTCCTCATTCATCTGCTGGACTTCTATAGACAAAAAACAATGGATTGCGTAATCAAAAACTGACTGGACGATAATAATAATCATTGACACTTAACAATAGGTTCCTGTAATGGAACGTCAGGCAATGGAAACTCCTTCTACAGCCGGACGTTTTTGAATATAGAGAGAAAAAAACCCACCCCATCGGATTGTACAATCAAACACTGCCTGACTGGACAATAAGATTATCATTAATATTTAACAAAAAAGGTTTCTATAATGGGAAACGTCAGGAGATCAAGCCTTGTTCTAATTTACATCAGTCTTGTCTGTACATTTTTAGATGGTGTATGGAATTTAACCCAAAGATACATAATAAATAAATAAGTAAAAGATACCAAAAGATACCAAAGTTGAAGACTCTCTTTGATATAATTAACATTTAAAAAAAATATATAATTCTGCCTATATGTACATTGATATAAATAACATTTAAAAAAAAAATAATTCTGCCTATATGTACATTGATATAATTAACATTTAAAAAAAAATGTAATTCTGCCTATATGTACATTGATATAATTAACATTTAAAAAAAATGTAATTCTGCCTACATGTACATTATAACTGTAATATAGCATAAACATTTCAGCAAGTTCTTGCAACATATATCAACCACTGTCCAATTTGCTTCCTTGGACTAAGACAGTGCACTCAGGTTTTATGAGACCACCAAAAGGTTTAAACCACCAAGGCAGACATCACAAACACTTACGACCTTGCCTTCCCTTTATCATATTCAATTGGCTGCTCTATTTTCAAATATTTTGTAATGAAATCTCTAAAACTGAAAATGGACTCTTCCAAATTCAAAGTAGCTCAAGTTCATTACAAAATGATAGGGAAGGTCTTGTAGGCATGACAAAAAAGCTAAGCTTTATCTACAGTAAATCAGCCTAATAATTTTATATAATATAAAAATTAGTTATCTTAGGTCATTAACTAATAAAAATCAGTTCCTCAGGGAAATTATGTTACAATTCACTGGCACTATGATGATTTTTAACTGTCCATTTGTTTTTTTTGTTTGTTTCATTTTACGCCTTTACCCAACAGTATTTCAGTTATATAGGCGGGTAGTTTCCTATCCATCATTCCTGGAGAGTTACACCAGTACTAGACTCCCTTCCTCTGCGCTAAACTACCAAAGCATCTCCCGGGGATCGAACCCACGCCAGAGAGGTAACTGGATTAGAAGTCATCAACTCTAACCCCTCGACCACGGAGGCGGTCTCTGTCCATTTGTAATTTTGGAGAAGTCTCCAGCTATATAAAGCTACCTAACATCTGCCGCTCAGTTTTAAAAAGAGTACTTCCAAAATGCTTGTATGAAAGAAATATAATCATAATATATTGCCTTAAAAGCAAATGGCGCATATATGAAATCATTGCTTGACAGTTGGAGCGAAACTCTACTTAAAATAGTAAAAGTAAAATATTTTGTTCGGGTGTTTACATACAATATTCATGTGTGTTAAAACAATTCTATGTAACAATTTTAACTCTATCGAGTGTCAGCCATATGATTATGGAAACAATATAATTTTACTGATGACGAATTTCATAAAAATAATTTCAAAAGATGATACAATGTAGCTTTATATATCCTTTGAATTACTAGAATTAAGCAAAGAGAAGTAAGCACAGGCTTCATTTAAATGCAAGTTTCAGAAATGGGAGCTAACCTGTCCAGCAGGTTTTAAGTTCATATGACACAATAGGCTCAACAATTTAGCAAGCACTGCCTCAGGCAATTAAAATTATAAAGTAGTACTGAGGGTGTTTTAAAAATTGCAAATTTGAAATTTTTAAATCAAATGATCAATTGTTACCTTCTGGTTCCAGCCAAACCCTATGTTTTCTTCCAGGAAATCTTAAAATCTTTGACTCTAGTGAAGGACAGAACCTAGAAATATACAAAATAACATACATTTGAGTTTTTCTATCAAAAAAAGCTCTAACATATTGTTGTTACAATGCAAAAGTGTCATTTTCAATGTTATGAAGTGGCAAATCTTAATTTCATACACAATCAGTTTTGCCAGTGGTCAGAATTCTATAACAAAGAAGCTTATACTTAAATATTCTATCACAATGATGTTCATTGACGGACAAAAAAGAAAAGTGAGCAGGCACTAATATATTTTAATCGGACCACTAAAACTTAGTGGTGTAATACCCGCATTTTGAAGATTCTACAAAACACACATACGTGTATTACACAAGCTGACAGCATAAAGTTTTCAGTACATTTTACTAGAAATGTTGTTTTAAAACAATATGATTTTTTTATCATTGAACTTTTTACCATTATTATCTAGTTAAGTTAGAAATAAAATAAAAAATAACCAATAGCAAACATTACTTCTGACTTTCATTTCTGTTACAGTTCGCCAAAGTATGTCTGCCAATGAAATTGCTCTATTTTGTTTAAATGTTGCTGAAATATTTACCATACAGTGCTGTACTAACTCAACTGTATTAAATTTATACTAAAAAAAGCCGATTTAATAGACTCCACCTATTTACATAATGCACTCGATTTGCATGGGCAGGGCTTAACTGTAAGTCAGTTATACTGGTTATATACAGAGTTTTAAAAAACTAATTTTCTCACCTCGACACTTTGTTCGCTCAAAAATTAATTTCTTAAAACTCTGTATATAACCTATACTAACTGTCAGCCTTCACAGACTTGATATTAACAAACTATCATGAATACAAAACATTTCATATAGACATTTTCTAATCATTAATTATTTTGTTATTTAAGAATTCAATCGACCTGTGTACATACAAATACACATTTTATGAGAATTTTTAAACAATTCATCAACAACAGATGGCGCTGCATACAATATTGTTACATCAAGGTTACTACAGAAGTTTCTTATAACAAAATACTTGAAGTCACTCTGAACAATAGAAAAAGAAATCTGAACGTTTTTTCCTATACATTTTATAAAGCCTGCACATGTTGACAGGATTGCATGATTTAACAATTGAAATACTTTGCGTAAAAGCTGCTTTGAGCTCTAATACCCTTAAGCTGTTACCTTTTTATTGGATTGCTATGAATAAAGTTACTAAATTCATCTAAAAAAAAAGCTTTGAATCTTCTTGATTTTTGTATCGTATTCCTGTAACCAAATATATAATGCAATGACTGTATATTCCACTTATCATATTATAGCAATTTAATATGACTTTCAAAACCTCTGAAATATTCAGAAGACAAAACAAGGGAGTAAAATGTAAGGGATTCTATTCCATTATCACACAGTAAAAATATATAATGCACGAACATTATATTTCACTTAACACATTACAATTGAAAACCTCTCTTAAATATTCAACAGACAAAAAAGGGAGTAAAATGTAAGAGCTTTTTCCTTTATCACACAGGCATCAAATTGATGTCATTCACAGTACACTGACATGTCATGACTGCTTACCAATATCACAGTTACCAACATAAGTACAATTTTGGTAGGAGTAAATTATAATAGCTACTATGTTTCATCATAAGGTATTATGCATAAGTAAAAAGGTTTATGCCAAAAAATTATATCTGGCATCTATTATTTTTATCATAAAGTAATGTACATGTATAAGTACAATATTCATGGGAGTAAATTATATCAGCTATTATGTTTTATCATAAGGATATGTTAAGGTTTATTAACTATTATCACATCATTTTCAGATTGTGTTTATAAATAATATTTAATTCACTACTTGTATGTTCAACTCAAGTTTATAATTAGATTTCATTTTCAGGCTGTCTTAACATGTTTAGTTTTTTAAAAATATTTAGTAAAACTTGATGTCGAAGAATCACTTTTGAACACACTAATCCTCAGAAACTAACCAGTACTGGTAGCACCAATATGAAAACCTGGTCATGACCACTTTAGAGCTCGAACCCAAAATTACTGGGTTGAGAGGCAGATCTAGAGACACCTTCAAACCTCCATAAAACCATCAATCTCTTTTAACAATATTATTAAAATTTCCAGTTTCAAAAAAATGGATACCAGTAGATTATGTGAGACCACCTAATATACTTATAATTATTTACTGTAAACTAAACAACTCAATGAATAAACCATAATATCAGTACAATAAACACTAAACAGTCCCTTTGAAAATGCTTAATCTCTATAGATAATGAAGATGCATTGTATACAATAACATGTGCATACAATTATCTTAAAGCTGTAATAAATAGCTTTTATTCATGCTTACACATATGCTCAAGAATGCACACTGGAAATATCTTAAATCCTATGATTGATTCCCCCACAAATCATACCATTGGTTTCATTCTTACAATCCTTAACACAACTAATTAATTAGAAGAGGAAGAAAATTCCACAAAAATTCACATATTATAACATTCTTGTACCAGTGTTCTCAAGATAAAATGCTATATGATTTTATATTAATCACAAATAAATTTTCAAAAAAAAATTTCTTTTCTTATAGTTATTCTTTTCCTTAAAATGAGACAATTTTCATGAATGGTATTAAATGCTTTTTTGATATCTTTTCATACTTTGGCAAGATTTAAGACATTTTGAATATGATCACTATACAAAAAATATTAGTATCAAAGTTTTGTTCGCTTGTGTTTCATCACCGTTTTTCAAGGCATCCACGATTGGACATTGGAGCAATTTTAGAAGCCGCTTCTTCAATGGCTCAAACATAGTCACCATATAGCTTTGGAGCGATGTTTTGTTTGTGTCAATGCTGTAAGAGAAAATCTCTAAAACCAAAACAATCATTTAACCATCGAGTTACGTAGCCCAATTGGTAGAGTGTTGGACTGTGAATCGGGCAACCCAGGTTCAATTCCAAGGCAGTGGAGGTCACAATTAATTTTGGATGATTGATTATACTTATATTGTCATTCCCACTGTACCTTTGCTCTGGCATGTACAGAAGTATAATACACGTTTGTTGTAAGTACTCAGGTGAACTTCTTGACAGCCTGGCCGGTTTAACTGTAACTTGAGAAAACATAGAATGATAACATCTGTAAAATATGTTCCAGTTAGGATCGAAAACTATTTTCCATGGAAGTTTATGTCATTACACCGGAGCTATTTTCTTACAACAGCATACAAAATTACAACTTCATTCACATTGGCGAAATTACATCATCCTAACTTAGCATGCCATTGTATAGCATGCGACTCATCTGGCACCCCCCATGCCATATAAAGGTTCCGGCATGGGTAAAACTAACGGAAACACCAGTCTGATATGCAAGAATATCAGTGAGAAACTTGATCACTATTTCTTTAAAATCTTTCTGGACAATAGTGACAACATGTAATTAACTTATGTACCTTCTTTTATTTCTTTACAACATTAAATTAGTTCACACAGCTGTGACCATATTCAAATGTCACAAACTGTTCCTATAACAGACATTTTAATTAGAAAACTGTTTCAAACAAGTAGACAAGTTCAATCAGAATGGATTTTTAAGTGACAGCTTAATGTCATGCCAACAAAAATAATAATTATAATGGGGTTCAAACTGAGTTTCAAGGCAATATTCTTACACCTACATAATGCTTTACATTATGCAACTTGGGTGGTTTTGTTTATTTGCGTTGTTGGTTGTTGTTTATATCCTTCTATGATTTAATTCCTTTTGTGTTTTTCATTCCCTTGGTGTGTTTTCTTTTCTTCAGTATCCCTTTGGTTCCTTTTGCGTGTTATTATTTTGGCTTCTTTTGTGTATTTTCATAATTCATTTTTGGACTTGTAATTCATCACTAGTGGACCATTGCTACATAGCTATAACCATACTGTCCAAGATATCATGCATTCCTCTCTGCTTCTTAATACCAAGGCTGTACTTTGATTTAAAAGATGTTATCCGGAATCCGGTAAATGTGGGTTTTTTCCCCAGCTTATCCGTAGGTACATACAAACTTTCACCATTAAAGCTTCACAGTGCACTACCCATCACAATAGATTAGCTTGTTTTCAAAGCTGTAACTGTAAAAGTTTGTTTGTACCTACAGACTAGCTGGGAACAAACTAAAATATTCTTCATTCCGGAGTTAGTCTATTGGTAAAATTTACAGTTTCCAAAAGGAGTTCAACTCTATTCACAACAGAAACCATGCTCCTATTTTAGTGTTCAATATACATTTATAATCCTTGAACATATGAGTTAAAACCCTTGAATACTACATAAATTTCTATATTGTTATTATAGAAAAAAAAAAAACTCTTATATTCTTATATTCTGAAACTGTGACATAAACTTATCCTGACTGTCCTATGATGGTTTGAATAGCAAAATATTAAAAATAAGTATGGCTGCAAACAGGTTCCATCCTGAATGTTCAGACTTGAGAAAAATGTGTTTAGATGTTAAGAAAAGTAAAAGATTCAAGATTCAAGTGATAATTTACATGTTATGTGTGATTAATGACTGATTTTGCGGTACTTACCACCATATTTCTTCTGCGTGAATTAGGCTATTTTTGCATACTTTTACTTCTTTTTGATAATTTACATGTATTGTTAGAGCCATTTGCAATTTGTTAATTACTTTTTTTGTTCACTTCAAAATATTTCATTTTTAAATACATTTTCATGATTTCAAAATTTTCATGAAAATAAGCATTAATCTGGAGGCATGCTGCCCATTTACATATGTATATAGACACTATAACAGTCCACTATATTTAATATCGAATAGCAATAACATATAATATTGAAAATCAAAATTTTCATTTCTTGATTTCTATCAGGTACACAAGTGAATGCTACAGATGAGGGAAAAAAACATCCATCCAAAAATGATAAAATTACCTATGATCATTATCAAATGGAACTGTTAAAAGGTGCAAGTTTTATGTGGCATTGTGATAATGTTTACTTTACATGAATATGCAAGGTGGTGCAAGTTTCATACCTCAAAATCAAATTAACGTTCAAGTACTATCACGCTTTCCACACAAAACTTGTTATTATATTAACATTTTTATTAATCGCTGTAACACAATTGTACTTGATTAAAAAAATCCGAGTCATATGAGAGCACAGCTTGTATCGAGCTGTGGAATGAAATTTCTCGACTATGTGAAGCCATCGCATATGAGAGAACCAGGGAAATTAGGATTTATTGTTGCAGTAAGGCACAGGACTATTTCAGCTGTTGCCAGATTTTGCTACCTGTGAAACTCAAGGAGTGATTCTCACAATAATTGTATCATTGCAGAATAGGTGTATTTCACCAGTTCTAGCGAACTATCTTCTATGAACTATCTTCTATCCTAGTATCACAGAAGCTACAGTACTGTTTGGTGTATTGGTCGTGCTAATATTCTGTAACAAAACTTTGCATTAGAGATTACAGAAAATTTTCAGTGTGTTGCTTTGGATGAGAGATTATTTTGTCTTGTACCACTTTGATTACACTGACTGGTATAGGATATTAACTCTTTACGATATTTATTTTTATTTGTAACATTTTTCATGGAGTAAAACAACAGGAGCAATCAATAAAGAAGTAAGTGTTGAAGTTTTATTTTTCTACAGAGAAATTTTATTTCAATTTTTCTATAATATTTATTTTCACACTATTTTGCAAACCTATACAATCATGTAATTGTGTCTATAAAACTTTAATATTTCTTTTATATTTAATAAATGATGTAAAGAGGTTAAAATGTGATTTCTGCCAAAATATGCATAAACAAATTATTTCACACATTTATTACCTTTATTATAATGATTGAATAAGCAAAAATATCAAACCTATTTTAATTTAATTTTTTGTTTAAAAAGACAAAAAATATCATTTGCTTGTAAAAAATATCAATAAATAAGTATAACAATTATTTATCTCTATTCTATTTATTTTATCAACATATTAATAATATCCCAAATTCTCAAGAGAGCACTTGCCTTATAAACTTGATAAATAAATGAAAACAAACAAGTTGCTAATCATAAAGACAATGTGGTAATGGGAATAACTTGCTTATAAAGATATATTGCTGAGCTTTCTGTTTGAAAGACAGCTTAGTAATTTATAAAGACAATTCAGCAAGAAGGGACAGTTAAGATATTATAGACAACTGTTTATTAAGATTCACCTGCAACGATAATTTACTTATAAAGATTTCTAATTTGTAGCAATCTTTTTCTTATAAAGATTTTTTTTCTGTCTGTAATGATCATTTGCTTATAAAGATTTCAGGTCTATTCTGTAATAATCATTAAATTTTGCTTATAAAGATTCCTGATCTGTTTCGTTAATGTTCTGTAAATTAAAGATCATTTGCTTAAAAAGATGTTTGCTTATAAAGATTTTTCGTCTGTCATGATCATTTGCTTATAAAGATTTCTGGTCAGTAATGATCATTTGCATATAAAGATTTCTTGTCTGTATAGATAATTTGCTTATAAAGATATCTGGTCAGTCAAGATCATTTGCTTACAAAGTAATGATTACAAGGTAATAACCACTTGGTAATGATCACTAACTAATGATTGCTTGGTAATAATAACTGGCTAACTACTTGGTAATGATCACTTGCTAAAAAATTTTGGTAATGATCACAAGCTAATAACTACTTTGTAATGATCACTTGCTAATGATTGCTTTTTAAAGATCACTAGCTAATTATTGCTTGGTAATGATCACTAGGTAATGAATGTTTGGTATTGAGCACTTGCTAAAAATCTCTTGGTAATTATCACTTGCTAAAAATCTCTTGGTAATGATCACAAGCTAGTAACTACTTTGTAATGATCACTTGCTAATGATCGCTTGCTAAAGATCACTAGCTTATTATTGTTTCATAATGACCATAAGGATTAAATGAACGCTTGGTAATGATGACTTATGGCTAATTTCTACTTGCTAATGATCACTAGCTAATAACTACTTGGTAATGATCACTTGCTAAAGATCACCAGCTAAATCATTTGGTAATGATCACTACATAATGCTCACTAGGTAATGATTTCTAGTTAATAATCTTTTTGTTATGATCACTATGTATGATTTCTTAGTAATGATCACTAGAAAATCACTACAGAATGATCATTTGTCAATTACAGCATGATTACTTGTCAAGAAACTTCTTGCTGTCCAATGATTTATGTCCAAATATCTAATAAGATCATTTACTGACTGACATATTTTAATCCACCAATGGTGGCAAAGAAATAAAACCATAGCCTACTGGCAGCAATAGATGCTAATCATGTGACCAGTGCAAATCATGTGACCAGTGCAGATCGTGTTGTGTGTTTAGTTTTATTTATACTGGGCACCCGGGTTTCCCATATGTCCAAGACTATCGGCCTCTGTTACGTCGCTGGTCGTAGAACCTGCAACAGAAGACTTAATTCGCAACATTGCCGATCGTAGAGCCGCAACAGAGGTCTTCTCATCTGGTGTGACCTATGCCTAATTCCTAGCGACGTTCACGCCGCGAAGGGAAATAGGAAGATATTCAACCAGTGCAGATCATGTGACCAGTGCAGACCATATGACCAGTGCAGACCATGGCCAGGCACATAGATATCTGCACTGTTCACTATTCAGTATATATATTTTGAAATTTTCCCTGAAAATAATGAATGTTTTTATCAAGATTGAAAGATGGACAATTCCATTTATGATATTTATCACAGTAAATGTAAAAAATCATATAGTGCAGAATCTTAAGCAAAGACTTATAACTAAATCTTAAATATTTTCAACCCTAAATCAATAATTTTAAATGAGCTTTTTCCCTATTCTTTTTTTTTCTCCCATTTTGTATTTCATTCAAGGAGAATACAAAAAACTGTTTTATGCAAATAAGTCATTAGATAATGTCTGAAGTTTAATAAACTTTCATTATTTCCCACAAATCCACACATATCATTATGCAAGTAAACAATAGCTGAGTTAAAAGTCCATAAAGAACTATTAAAGCAAATTTGCATTTTTTTATTCCGACAGTTTTAATGAAGTATCATCTTACTTAAGCACGTTTCAATCAATATTTGCTCTTTGGGTTAATAAAGAAAGGAAAAAAAGATAAATTTGTTCTTTGGACTAATTGTGTTCATTTGAAAAGAGCGTTAATCAAAATTGCTTTTACAAAGCACCTATTGTATTGAAGGAGAGAAAAGGAAATGAAAGAAGTCACCCGAAGTCTCAACTTATCATTTTATTTCTTTATTCTTTTTCACATAAAATTTTAAATGATTTAAGTGACCTATTCTTGTGACAGATGGTTATCATAATTAACAATCTTAATCATTTTACATTTGCTGTATCTGTAACATCTTAATATATGCCAGAAAAAAAGCTCATTACCTTTACTTTATGGTAGCGGCCACTATAACTTTACCTATGCTTACCCTGGAAGCGGCCACTAACTTTACCTATGCTTACTCTGGTAGCGGCCACTAACTTTACTTATGCAACTAGTGCAAACCAGTGCAAGCGAGCACAAACCTAAAAGGTAATGTTCAATTAATACTGAATTTTATTGAACGATGTGAATAAAATTATATTATACGAGCAAAATATTATTTTATTCAACAAATTCAATAAATTCAGTTATAAACCTACATGAATATAATTTCTATTCATCAAAGACTGTTTAAAGTGCAAAAGAATCAATTTTTCATTGACATGCTAACTTTTAGCTCGTCTTTACGCTATGTTTGTATAAAATAAATGATGCCACGTCAAAATATCAGCACAGCCGTGCAATCCTTTTCATTGACGCGCTTATACATTTGCTATTCAGTGAGTCAGTTCATGTTTTGGAAATTTACCCTTAAGACAATGGATATTCTTCTTAACATTGAAAAATGGACAAGCCCATATGAGATATTTAGCTTGTAAGGGTAATTTGTGCACTATGCTATATTCAGTCAGTTCATGTTTTGGAAATTTACCCTTTAGACAATGGAAATTCTTCTTAACATTGAACAAGAGCGATCAGTAATCACATGTGTCGCCTCATGATGGCCAATTTCATTTGGGAAAAATTTTTTGTGACAACAAACAGCAACGGACAGTGCACAACTAGATTGGTACTGATATTCCTGTAAATTTTGGATGAAATTCAAAATAGTTTATGGGGAGTAGTCCAGACATGTTTTTTGCGTATCTGGCAACAACAGAAAAAAACACCTTTTTATCAAACCCCATAACTGGGCCCAAAAAATCATTCAACCAGAAAACCCGTGCAATATGCGAAAGGGACTTGAGCTACAGTTTCAATCCTGAAATTTTCTTTGAAATTGAAATAGGGAAAAGAGAAGTAGTCCGGACAAATTTTAAAAAAAAAAATTTATTAAAGGGGGCCATAACTCTGACAAAAATCATGAACCAAAAAATCTGACAATATGCACAACAGACTTGGTACTGATATTCCTGTAAAGTTTAGAGAAAGCACAAGTAGTTTATGAGGATAGTCCGGACAACTTTTGTGTATCTGGCAAACACAAAAAAAAAACCCCTTTTTTATAAAGGCCATAACTGGGCCCAAAAAATCATTAAACCCCGGAAAACCCGTGCTATCGCAAGGATTTGAGCTACAGATCAATCCTGAAAATTTTTCATTGAAATTGCATTAGGGAAAAAGAGAAGTAGTCCGGCAAATTTTAAAATTAAAAAATTATTAAAGGGGCCATAACTGAAAAAAATTTTGAACCGGAAAATGCTACAATATGCAAAAACTAGACTGGTCTGATCATTCTTGTAAAGTTTGGATGAAATTGCACCAGTAGTTTATGAGGAGTAGTCCGGACAAGTTTTGTGACGGACGGACGGACAGACAGACGGACGGACAGACGACGGAGAAGTGATCCCTATATGTCGCCACTACTATGTAGAGGCGACACAAAAATGGACAAGCCCATATGACAGATATTTAGCTTGTAAGGGTAATAGAAATTTGACAAACAATGTATTTTGACAAACGATGATTGCTTATTTTCTATCATAATAGACTTACCGTAGAATTCCTTATAAACGCCCCTACCCTAATAAAGGCCCCCCAGGCTTTTTGATATGGGAAAAATCTACTCATCAGTGCTGAACTCATGAGTAAATCCATAATTTTATTCAAATCCTTCAGAATCCATTTTATTTTATAGTAAACACAAAAATTTATCATAGTAAACTTTAAAGCTTTTAACACTTTTTAATGTTATTACCAACACTTGCTAATACTAAATGTATTTACAATGATTTTTGGATTTAGGAAAAAATGTGTTGTAAAAATACCCTTGAAAATGTTTCCGCCTTATAAAGGAAAACGCTCGAAATTCCAATAAATATTTTGTTTTCCTAGACTAATCACGGTGTGCAAAAAAACCTTTTTCATATTGTAAGGGTTGAAAATAAAGCGCAAACATTAGACTTAATTAAATTTTTTTATGTCGGGTAAGTTTTTTCAAACCCGTAAAGCTTAGGTAAAAATTTTTTACTAGACAGATTTTGATTTGGAGAAACCCAGATTGACAGGAGTATAATAAATCGATTATTAG